GGTGCACGCACTTACACGGACAGGCGGCTCCTGGCCGTGGCTGCAGCAGCTACATCCATACACATCTTCCTTGTAGCCCTGGGATTGCGGAGACCCAGTGAAGTTGCTCTCTATTAAACTGGGGCTATGGACCACTGAATATTGAAACTAAGCACAGGGAAAAACCTTAATCAACTCTTGCAAAGTGCTTTGAAATCTTTTTCTGCGCAGGGACAGAGAGACTTTAAGGGGACAGAAATCAGCTCCTTTGCAAGCCATGTCGAATGATTTTAGCAACTATGCCTCAGGCTGCTGAGGAAACTGATTTTACTTATTTTTATACGAACGGAGGTAGATAGACACAGACAGACACACACATATATATAAAGCACACGCACATATAATCTAGGAGGCAAAGAGAGAATCTGTATCTGCATTTGCGATATCTCCCTATGCCAGGTAAGGAAAGCATCTTTTTCCTTTTAACCGGGCGCTGTACATACATTGTTTCCTTGCAGTTTATCTTTAGGTTGTAGCAGTTCACAAGGTTTTTTTTCAGCAGATGTGTTATTCAATTACTTCAGGGCTTTTCCATTTGTAATATTATGAAGCAATGATAGCCAGCAGACTTCACCTGTCTTTTAGAGATAGCCAGCCTGGTAATTTTAACTCTGCCCATTTTATCCATACCAGTAAATCTCATAACATGGTTATAGAGAGATTCCAATTTTTGTAGAACCTTCTCCCGGGAATTCCTGTATACAATATTGCCATAGTCTGTAATGGACATAACCTGTGATTGGATTAATGTTTCCCTAGTGAAGAAGTCAAAGCATTTCATGTTCCTATAACTGGTTTGCAGCTCTGCAGTAAAGGTCTTTGGTGTGGCAGAGAAAATAATTGCAAATGCAGCCCCAATCAGAATATATAATCCCCTCACAGCGAGGGTCCAATTCAGCGCAGTTAGACTGCCTGCGCAGGGGGTTGTAGTGGGATTTTCTTGTCAGGAGAGCAGAATGCACAGAAAACAAGTTAATTTTGGCATTTTAATATTCATCACCCAGTCCTGTACAAAGAGAGGTAAATACATTGCTACTGCTCCAAGGGAGAGCCCTCCAGCTTCCCAAGCAGAGAATGGAAACAAACAGGGCAATGCAATGGGGCTCTGGTCTCCCCACAAGAAGAGCCCTTGACTTGTGCTCGGGTAAACACGTGCCTTTGTTCTTAAGAGTAAATACCATCCTGTCAAATTGGACACCCAGGTTTGGACCCATACTGGCTTCTGGACCTTTCAAAGTCCCTGGCGTTGCCTTACTTTGAATCTGACACAAGTGACTAGCAAAGAATTACTTGTTGAGAGTACAATGTTTACTACTTACATCTGAGACACAGATCACCTTCTCCAGGAAGAAGAGGCTCTTGGCTGGCCAGAAGTAGGCTCTGAAGCAGGATCTGCCTGCTCAGATGGAGGAGAGGGACCTCAGTGCTCATGTTGGACGAAAGAGGACTAGACACTGGGAGCAAAAGGTCTCATATTTTCAGCTCACTTGATACCGTCCCCAAGCATTTGTGAAATGGTGTGTGTGCATCACACGTACTGTGCTACACCAAAGTGTAAGCGCTCATCATACAAGCTAGTAAAGAGCCTGCAGTGAAAGGCTCCAGCTCCCATGCCCAGCTGGTCAGCGAGAGCTTTCAAGAAACAAGGTTTATTGGTGAACCCCAAAAGCAGAGGTGGGTCTCTGGAGAAAGCACTATAGAGTCAACTCTGCCTACAGGGTTCAGAGGAGACGTGATTAGGTTTAGAGTGGAAAAAAAGGATAGGGGCAGCTGTGGGTGTGGGTGGACCAGAAGGTGCCAGAGGCAAACAGAAATAGACGTGAAATAGGAGGCAAGAGCAAAGAGTTTGAACATGATGTGCTGGAACAAGGATGGGGAGGGTGGGCTCCAGAAGAGACGTGCTGCCTGACTGAGGAGGTAGGCAGATGCTCTCGGCAGATAACCTTATGTTTGGATGTTATGGTATTGCTAGGCAGGTGGAGAGGATGGGAAGAAAGTTACCAGCATGGGAGTTGACAAATGGGATGTCATCATTTCCCATATGGGTAACTATCTCCAATCTGTCCTTTCTATCCAACTAAAAGCTTGGGATATCTCAGCAGAAAGGAAGCATTTCTGGCAGAGATGAGCAGTCTACATCTACTAAGACCTGGAAATTGCAGGTTGTGGGGCAGATACGGATGGCAGGAGACAAGAAGTGGAGACAGCGATTTCCAGGAAGATCCAGTTATTAAATCTAAACGTAACAGACCAACTTTTACAAGTCAGGTAGCAGGAGCCTCTCAAAACTAAGAGCAGGGCAGCACAAGGGCTTCCCAGAACCAGATTGTCCACGTCTTGGTTTTGAAGTGACTCTGAGGGCCTGTGAGGAGGAAGGAATGAAAATGAAACAATACACTCATTCCACAGATGCTTCTGTAACTTTATTCATATTTCTGAAGTAGATTCTTTAGCAACTAAGCAAATACCTGAAACTCTCTCATTATATATAGATATAGATAGATATATATAGAGCCATTCAAAAGAAATAATGAGGAATTCTGCAAGTGTTTTTCCAATGAATATGCAGAAGGAACATTATCACCCCAGTAAACCAACTTTGAAAGTCTTCCACTAAAAACCTATAAAACCCAATGATAGTCATAAATTAACACTAGATTAATTCAAAGGAGAACTTATCCCCCTCTGCATACCTTCTAATCCATATCTCCAAGAGGTCATTTTAATTATCACATTGTCACTGCTATTCATTACTCTGCTTTTGGAGACAGGGAGCCAGCACTGTGCCTTTTGGATGCCTTGGAATTCATCATATGAAGGCATTTTATTCTCCTTAAAAATGTGCACAGTTTAACTCCCTCACCTTGAAATACTGACAATATCAGGTTTGCTTGGTGTTTTAAGCCATTTTCCTTCCAGTAGGATATCTCTTTCTTGTTTTCAACCAAGTTCCCCTTATCAGAGAGAAACTAACTAATGAAAGCCCAGCTAACGAGTGGCTAATGCACAGAGACAATCAGCTCAAGTTTTGTCAGATCCTGAGTAGCTTTTCCTTTTTCAGAGGCATGCAAAGCCAAATTTTTGTCCTGACTTGTACCTTCTCACTCTTTCTGGCTGCTGTAATGCTACCTGGATGGAAACCATGTGCCAGTTGCTCCCAAGAGGTCTTTTGTGATGGGGGTCCGGAAGGGCGTGTGAGTTCCTGAGACACAGAGCGCAGACCTCAGCCTTGACTCTGCATGCTTTGTGTTTACTTGTATGGAAAGGAGCTCAAGGACCTTACACAGAGCTCCCTTCTGTCCGTCGAGACACAGATATGGAAACTGGATTCAAAGACAGATAAGCACATATGAGGGCCTATTAGCTTCCTGGCTGCATAAATGCAACCCAAGCTTCTTTCAGTTCTTCCTAGGATCACACCTTGGTTCAGTGTTGGTCATGCTCAGGCCTTGCAGCCAGGTCTCCATTGCTGAAGAATCAGAGTATTTTCACAAGAGACAGTAAATTTAAGTTACCTGGAAGGTCTATTTTAGGCTATAATTCTCAGTTTTTCTCATACCTTTTCATTTACCCCCAGGATCCATTCTTCTCACACACAGGCCACCATGAGGACCCAGCTGAGTCTGACTCTGTTCCTAGATCATGGTGCTCAAATCCTGGGAAAAAGGAGAGGAGCAACCAACCCAGTTCTTTTACTACAGAATGGAGTGTCTGGGGCTACTACTTCTTCAGGGCCACCCCACAGCAAGAAGGGCTCATTCAGTCGTGTTTCACATGTCTGTCTTCACCTTCAGTCTGGTTCATCCTTTATCTCTCTATCCACTGGGTCTTGGCACCTTCTCTTCTCCAAGCCACTATTGCAGCCCAACTCCTAGCAGAAGATAGTGAAGAGAAACTGCTTCCCAAGGCTTCTGATGGGTTGGCAAGAGGCACTTCTAAGTGCGCTCTCCCTTCCCATCCCGAGAGACTCTCGGTCTCCCCTCAGGGTCACCCTCATTTACTTTCCTGTTTGAGAATCACTGGCCTCGCGCTTCAAATCCACATCGCTGGCAGCTGTTTCAATTAGTCACACAAGACAAGAGACAAGGCTGCCTTGTGATGGTGGCTTCGAGCAGAGATTTCACGAACCATCCATGTAATGGGAAGGTGGTGAGGTTTTACTTGGGATTTGTTACAGTAGTGGCACAACACTGTTTGTTCATACCTTTCAGCACTACCCCGGCTCACACTGCCTCAGTCATACATTGGTTGGGAAGTCCAGTCTTTCTAGACCCCAACCAGTTTTTGCTGGAGGACCATGGTTCCTGCCTGTTAGACAGGTCTTGCAGTGTGTTTCATGCCTGTAGCCTGACAGTAACATTTTTCATATGACCCCTTTCCTCAAATGATCTGATAGAAGAGCATAACACCTGACCATGCAGCGGATGATAAACGGCACACTGAGGAGCGCCTGCCTGACTCCCAGAAGCTATTTATCAGGCTCTCTTAATGCAAGCTAACAGGGCTAGCACATGCAATTGGCATAAGAGCTTCTGAGCCTGACACTAAAAGAGGAGACATCCCATGGGGCAGCAGGGGAGCCAGGACTCCCTCGTTAGCTCATCGTATGGATTACCCCTTTAGAGAGAGAGAGAGGCTGGTGGAGGAAGGGGAGGCTTTCTCATTTTAACAAATAGCTTTTCAGGCACCACAAATGATTTCTGTAAATCTATTGAGTCACTCTTTTTTTTTTCCCCAGAGATGAGACCAAAAAAAAAGGAAAAAAGAGCCCTGAAATTGATTTACCATCTATAAATAAAAAAAGAATCAATAGTAAAATTTCTAGCTAATTTCCCTCTCCTCCTTTTCTCCCTGAACTATTTGTTATCTCAGAAATACTTGTCTGGGAAAAAAAGAGAAACACCGTTGGTTCCAGACCTAGACGTGCTCCTCCACCTCGTCTCCTCTCCTCTTCTCTCCTCTCATCGTGTGGAGCGAGACTGGTCCTTCAGATGCACCTGGCTCCTCTTCTCCGGCTTGCCGCCAGCATGGCTGTTCCCTTGGCCCCTCTGGGTGGTGCATTTAAAAACCGGCAGTTTTTCTTTCCTGTCAAAAGAAAAGAGAGAGACAGGACAGGTATGGTAAAATGCTGCGGTGTTCCAGCAGCAGGTGAGCTGCGTGTGGGATGGTGCTCCGAGGAGAAGCCGTGTGTGAAGTCTCACATTGAAGTGCATCTGTAAGGAAGGCTTTGGCAGCTTGAGACAAATTAGAGGTGGTTAAAGACCAGCTGGTCCCATCCTCCTCTGGCCAGAGCAGGGTTAGTCCTTCCGGGAGACTTCAAGGGCTTTGTGCTAGCTCTGATCTCTCCAAGGGAAGGGCCTCACTGCTTCCCTTTGGGCTAATGCACTTACTGCTCTTGTCTCCCCATTGCAGCCCTTGCATGCCTGAGACATTTCACTTCATTTCTGCTCATTAACAGCCTTCGTATCACTGTGAATGTTTCCTTCTGGGGCATATACCATTCACAGGACAGCTGGGTTCACGGGTCTGCTCACCACTGGATTGCCCCCGCTGCCAGGGGTGTTCCCAGCTGGGGCCAAACTCTAGTGACAGGCTCCTGCTGCGTGGCCGGTGAACACCCATCGCCCAACACACGACACCAGTGCTTCCAGCATCCAGAGCTGTGCCGTCAGAGAGCCTGATGTGATACTGCTATGTCACTGTGCCCGTTCACTCCAGTTATCTAGCACTCATGCAAAACCTCAGTCGTCACTGTAAGTTTGGAGCGTGGTGTTTCCAGCGCACCTTTCAGGCTGCAGTCGTAGCAGAGCAGTGGGAGTTTAAATACTGACCTCCAAAGCAGCAGAGCTGTGCTAAATACAAAGTACTTTTGCAGTGATGCCCCAGGAGTTCACGGGCTAAGAACTAAGCTCCTCACAAGTCAGCACCACAGAAGCAGCTCCTCGACTTCCCGCAGCTTGTCCAGGGGAATAGACCTACTTTGTAAGGCTTTGGTTCCTGGTAAGTCTCACTACTGGTTTCCCAGATGAAGTGCTGCTGGGTGTGCGTTTACGGTGTCTGTGATGAATGTCTGCTACTTTAAGGAAAAGTAAATCTCCATCCTTTATTACAGTGAAGTCTGTAATGTTTCTATTCTATTTACTTGCACGACCTCTTTGCTTAGAGACCTCAATTAATCCCCTCCATCTCACAGCGCAGCGCGCACCATCACTTCTCCCTCTGGCTCCCAACACACTTATGTTTCATGGCGAGACGGGCACAAGCAACTGGAGAACCTCAGCCCAGGTCTGTCCAGCTGCTGGGCAGAGCCAGGCCTGGAAAAACACCGTTGTACCCAGAGACGTCGCTTTGACGAGAGACTGAGCGACAAGGGGTGTGTCCTGCAGCACTGTCCCTCGCTGCTCAGGGAGACTCAGCCAGCACTGGGCCATCCTGGAGCAGGGAGCTTCACCTCAAACCCCCACCAGCACTGACAGCTCACACTGGAACTGCAAAGGTGCCTCTGATTCAAACACTGAGACCAGGAGCCAGAGGAACCAGCCAAGACAGCTCTACAACCCTGCCTGCGGACTGCTGGCGGAGAGTGGGGTCCCTCCACACTCATCCCAAGCAGCTCCAGCTCAGCAGCCATCATCATCCATCCCCTGCGTGTACCAAGCTCCAGCCCCATGGTGCCGGATCTCCCACTTATGTAGGCAGAATGTAAATTACCTCCCCTCGCCAAGCTGGCTGTGCTGCAACTGTAAAAGCAGATACAACTTCTGTTGGCTTCTCTTTTGTAAAAGTGGCAAAACCTGACTATTCATTCCCATCCTGAGGAAGGAAATCAAACCGCGCTGTCTGTCTTGCTCACACCAGCCAAGGGGCTCCAGTGAGCCTTCAGGGTGCCCACTCAGACTGCTCCTGACCCTCCCAATACCCGCCATGCCCTGCCAATTTAGTTCATTCACCCCCCACTGCTATGGCAGGACCCAAACGGGGAGGATCCTCTGCTTGTGCCTGATCCACTCTCTAAGCACTCAGTCCACTCTCTCTGGTATCAGTTATCTGTATTCTCTACCCGGCTGGAGACCAAGCCAAGCTGATGTTGGTGCTCTACCAGTTCCTACTGAGACACAAACACTACGAAGGGGAGGACCTCTCCATTCACATAGCCATGTCACCGAAAGTGAAGTGACTTACCAAAGGCCACGATGCAGACTTGGGGAGAACTGAAAGGAAAAGAGCTGAGATGGAAACCCAGGTTTCCTGATCCCTCCACCCTGACTCACCCCTGAGCAATTGGGCCCCTCTAAACCCACCTGCTATAGCGACTCGGGGAAATCTGCCTTCCCCACCAGGCGGGTGTTGTGTTTGTCAGTGCTTCTGCTTTTATTTGCAGAAGGAGGTTTCAAAATACGTTTTAAAAGAACTGAAATAATGTAGGGGCCAATGGGGCACTGGGCTTAGAGGGCTTTACCTCCACCAGGCCTCCCCTCCCCATTGCAGTCACAGCTGCCACCAGTTCAGTATCTACTGCATCTCCACAGTTCAATCACCAACCTAAGGCACAGTGGTATTTGGAAGAGATAAACACTGAGACAAAAATAAATAAATTAGGACCCTGGGAGGGAGACCTGAGAGCACAGTCAAGTGAGAACAAGCAGTTTCTCTCGTTTTGTGTATAATTACATTGACATGTTCCTAGACAACACTGGAGACCCGAACACAGCAGCAGCTGTGGACCAAACGGAGAATCCTGAAAAACATAGGAAATCCAGCCAGTCAATGCATCCCCTGCCCTGGGGCCGCATCAGCGCTGCCCGTGCCACCGCTGACAGCCTGCCTGCTCCCAGGCAGAGCTGGTGCTGGGCGGGCAGGCAGGGCTGGGCTCCTACTTGTGCCGAGCCTGGCTCTCCCCGGGCAGGCAGGGTTGGGATCCTGTCTGCGCCAAGCCTGGCTCTCCTGCACAGACACTCATTTCTCCGTGCCCGCTTGGCCAGTCCACTGGAGCAATGCTGCTGAGCATCATCCCTATTCTCCTCTCTGCGAGTGAAGGAAACAATATAATACAAAACAGGCAAAGAGGATAAAAGTGGGTCTTAAACCTCCTTCTTTTTTCATGATTTGGGTAACACATGAAAGGAAATCCTGTCTAACCAAGAGCACTTACAGGCGGGAAGTTTTGACGCTGGCCTTCTTTAGCAGCCATCCAGGCATCCACTGAACTGAAGCATCGTGAGTATCAGCCACTCTGTTCACATCAGGTACTTGTGACAAAGTGATGTTTTTTTGACGTACAGCCAGCTGACAGACAGTCACGATCAAATCACAACTCTGCTGCGTGCTCATCACACGTACAACAGTTAATCTTGCAGCCATGCAAACTGTTTTGCAAATTGAAATCTCAGAGGCATAGCAATTACAATACCAAATTTATACCACATCTCTCAGTCAACTAATTGTACATCCAAAAAATCACCACTTGAATAATCTGAATACATTTACCTTTACAGCTAAAAAAAAATCCACTACATGCTTGATCTCAACACAATTTTGAGTTACAGAACCCCATGGGAAAAAAATGCCAACCTCTAATTTCAACAGCAAAATTGCTTCTATCAAAATACAGCAGATGCATAATTCACATGGAGGTCTAACATCTCGGTGTTTCCAGCAATGTTCTTTTTCACATCTGCAAAATGGGGGTAATCCTCTTGCTTCCCGTAGCGTGCTCAGCCTGTCTGCAGGAAGACAAGCCCTATATACATCTACTCCAAATGTAGTGTACATGTTCACATCTAAAACAACTGTATCTGGATTTCTAACGGTTAGGAAACCTTAAACCTTAAAGGTCTTAAAATGAATGAGCGAATTTACAAAGCAGGCTAATGTTTTAGATGAGCTGAGCTTCACAAAGCCACTGCCATAAACATGCTTGTGCCACTGTGGCATTTTGAGCTCTTCCTCACACACATTTCCTGACTTTTGTTTCCGTCCCATGAAGCAAGTTGAAGTGGGGAGCAGTAGATTTGAATTAGTGACTTTGCAGCCGGTATATTAAAGAGGGCCACACCAGAAGAGAATTCTGTGTTTAAATTGCAAAGAGAGGAGAAACAAAGTTATCCGAGGCACATGAGTGGGATCAAAAATGAATCATCAAGGCTGGAAAATGGCTAACCTCTGATCCCTGAAACCACGAAATCTAGCTGCTGTCGTGTATCTGCTGATCTAATTTTTACACTCTCCCCTCCACACAGATGAGACGCGTTTCCATTGCAGCCATCGCAGCTAAACAATCAATGCCTGATTACTTCAAACGCTTCGCTCTCAGGGATGCGCAATTAACCAGGCCCATATTTGACACTGCGAGGGGAGCACAGTATTTTCTGGGAATGTCTGACAAGTTTCAAACGTAAAAAACACAAATCAAATGGCCCAGCAGATAATGACAGCCAGTGCCCTGGCAGTTAGATAATGTGCGTGCTCCAAAGCAAGGCCAATTAGAAGCAATAAAAACAAATTTAAAACGTTAGAGCAAAGGTCAGAAATCCTCAGCCATTACAACAGGGTTGATTTTTTTTTGTTCTTTTTTGCAAGCGGTCACCAGTGCCTATTTCCAGAAAGCGAGCACAAATTCACACTTGTGAGATGACCACCCACCTGTTACAACGCATTATGATTTCTGGGCCATACAAACCCCACTAATGCAGTGCATGGAAAATCCCAGCACTATCTGGAAATCTCATCAGGTCCATGCCCTGTGGCCCTACCTTTCTGAATGCAGGGGCTGGTCCATGCTGCTTATAGAGAAGACAACATACTAGAACCTGCTCCCCAGGAGAGTTTGTGGATGTCTCCCTCTGCCACAGAAGGGATCCTGCTACTTATCGTCCATCCCTCGGTTCCTGCCATCCTTCCCCAGCTCACTGCAGCCATGCACACTAGCTTCACCAACAAGATAGTGCACAGAGGCAGGAATTATTAACTTGTAACTAGAATCACGTTATCAATCAAGAGAAGAAGAAGAAGAAGTAGCCACAATTACAAGCAACACATGTGGCTCAGACCCAGCCATCCTTGCATATCTTTACTGACCCTGGACC